TAGCGTCTGTAATGCGGTGCAATCTGTCATTTAGGGTTTCTTTCATCTGCCACTTCAGAGGTATTCCAGTGGTTTATTGTACAAGATAAATGACTATAGGTTCTTTAGTTTGGTAGATTGAGGGGTCAGGATGGAAGTCTAATAAAGCTAATACTTGCTATTAGCCACAGATGTAACACACAGAGGAGACTGAAAGAGTTTGCATCAGCTTGGAACTGAATAGGCAAAGTCGGAACAGGGTTATCCCGTCCGGAATAAGTGCTATCAACATCAGCCTAAAAAGCCCCGGCAGTGCATGGGCCAGAGTAAGATTGGCAGAAGGTAAGTCATACTTTCAGCAGTTGTTTTCAAACAGTTAGAATTTGAGTTTATTTTTTGCTTATTTAGTTCAAATTAAGTTTTACTAGAAAGGGAAGCATGCAGTGCAAAATCTGAAATTTGCAATTATCCTGAAATAAACAGCAATTACAAAGATAAAGAGTCATTGAGCCTTAAAAATGTAAGGCTTAATGACTCCCATTTCAGCATTTCATTTCTGTTCCTCAGCTGGGAATTACTGAGCAAAACACCTTGAATTTCAGCTGTTATGTGCTGGAAAATCTATAACAACGTGGAGCAAAAAGTAGTTTGGTAAGTTTCTTATTGTTCACCCATATTATTCGTAAATGGCCTGTATTTGTATAGCGCTTTACTTAGTCCATATGGACCCCAAAGCGCTTTACACTACATTCAGTCATCCACCCATTCACACACACATTCACACACTGGTGATGGCAAGCTACATTGTAGCCACAGCCACCCTGGGGCGCACTGATAGAGGCGAGGCTGCCAGACACTGGCGCCACCGGGCCCTCTGACCACCACCAGTAGGCAACGGGTGAAGTGTCTTGCCCAAGGACGCAATGACCGAGACTGTCGGAGCTGTGGCTCGAACCAGCAACCTTCCGATTACAAGACGAACTGCCAACTCTTGAGCCACGATCTTGAGTAAGATGTATATTTTGGTAATAGCTTGGGATTTTGGATTATTATGGATAAACTAAAGAAAATTGCCAATTTTTAATTCAATTTTTAATGTTTTATGGTTAAATTAGTATTTCTCCACTTTTGTTTAATTTCTGCACACCACAGCTTTATTACACTGTAATAACTATCTAGTGCTATTTGAGTCCACGTGAGAGAACCAGGTCCATATGTATAAAAATGGGCCATTACTTATTTACACTATTAATTAACACCCCTCCCCCAACCATAGAAAACAATTGCATGTATCCAAAAGTTTTTATTTTTAAAACAATCACAGATTTTTTCTTTAGCACAAGTGGTTTAAAATGCCTCCAAACATTCATTTACTTATAGAAGTTATAAAAATTCAACCGATTTGACATTTTTTATTACTGCTGCACAGCCTTACTTATAATATTTGGCACCAATTTTTTTTTCTATTTACATATTTTTTCTTCTTTGAAATAATTCACTGAATTACATGTCCCCCATTACTCTTATAGAAATCATTTTGAGACTTGTTATGATTAATTTAAAAAGTAATAATAGTGAAAAAGATGTTTCCTCCTATTTCATATTTCATCATCCAGGCATAAGGACCACATCATGGAGTCCTTATGGCTGGAGGAAAAGTTTTGTAGTGCTGGAACACTTCCCATCTCATGTGGTACAAGCAATGCAAAATAAAAGATTTTTATTTCATTTAAGTTTATATGTTATTTTATTACACACAGGCACCAATGTGTAAAAATGTAAAAGTCTGCTTAAATTGAAAATAATAGTACAAGTAAGGTGGTCCTGTTGCAAGAAATTATTAAATGTCTTATTAAAAGCAAGGATTATAAATTAAATCCCTAAAATCATTATTACTACTTAATGTGACTTATTATTACGGTTACTGTTTTCATTTAATAGGTGTTAGAGAGTTTTAAACCTTTGTAGGATTATGATTTTCTTAAACAGGGTGAAATAAGGATGATTGGGAATGAGGTTGAAGAAGGGGCGTTTCATCTAATGAATGTAAATTAAAACTTTTTTTGCTAAGCCCTAGCTGTGAAATCAAGTCAAAATTGCATGTTCCCACTGGTTTATTATAGCGTGAGGCAAGCTTTCACTGGTGTGAGGCCAGCCCCATCCTGTTAACTGTTGTTGTTGTTTTTTCTTTGTTTTGCTTTCAAAAAATTAACTAAATTAAAGAAATCAGTATTATATGTAGTTTTGTGGTTAATTAAAGGTAATAAATTAACAAAATTTAATAATTTAAAAAACTGACAAAATTTCATAATAAATAAATTCAATAAAAGAATTCAACAAATTCTACTTCAAAAAAGATTATCAAAGAGGTTGGCGTGATACTTGTTTATTAACACCCTCTTAAAATATATTTGCAAAGTAAAGACAAGGACATTTTAGCTCTTAGAAAATGCGAGTGTGTAAGTGACTGTACATTCAAAACACTTATTAGATATTGTCTCGTAACAGGAGGGACATTTAGGGACACATCATGCGAGGAGACAAAATTGTTATAGCGTGATATCTCAGTTTGAGGAATATATTTTCTGATAATTTAACAAGTTCTCCATCAGAGAGAATCATAGAAAATTTGACAATGGTGCTATCATGAAATGGCCCCAAATTTAAGGCATAGCATGGCCCAAGTGTACAGCAATCAATGGATGCTCGCTCAGTTTTTGTACTGTCTTGCAGCGTGTACTACTTTGCAACTAGAGACTCTTACGGATTTAAACCTGTGACACAATTAGAAGAAACGCTTTGTGTTATTTCAATTTGCAAATCAGACTAATGTGGAGGATTTCAGCAGTACAAGGGACGCGTATAAGGCCTGACTACCAGCAAGGACTTTCTGATGTAACATTTTCCTATATTTATTAACACAGCATAATTATGTTTGATTGGCATTTCAAGCTTATTTAGTTTCATTTTCAGAATCTGAAAGTCAGTTGATTGGACCATCTAATTTTTTTTTTCCAAAATAAAAAACAGTTCGATTAATGTAGTTTTTATGCATCTTTTCATACATGTGTCTTAGATTAGTGTTCTTGGATCTAATTGGATTGCAAGCACAAAAGCGAAATCAGTCATGAAGGACAAAGTTTGAAATAGTAAATGCCAAAGTACATACAAAAAAAGCAATCTACGCTTGCCAAGAGTTGCGAGAATAAGTTTACTGAAGTTAATTAAAAGCTCACAGCCTTACTTATGTTTGTTTCCTTGATCTTTTGCTATGGTCTTCACCACCTCCTGAGAGAAATATTCAGCTCTTTAGGAGCTAAAAGTGAAATCGACAACATGTCAGACTAAGTTGCTTTGCATACCTGCTGTTTGAGGTTTTTTATCTGAACGTTTTGCCTTAAATGAGGTTGCTCGGGGTGGACTAGAGCAAACATTAAAGTTATGCGACATAGAACTAAAACCATTAACTAAGTTACTCATAATTCATCACTATGAATAGGACCCTTTTCCAAAAACTGGACAGTCAAAAGCTGAATTCATTTGTGTTACTTCAAAGACATTAATTTAATTTTTTAAAAAAAGTTGAACTCTCGGTGCATGAATAGATAGAAACAGATTTTAGATGCTGGAAAGTTGGGTGACTTTATGTCCAATCTTCTATGGACATGTTGGATTAACTGTGACTAACCTCAGTGGAGGATATCCCCCCCACTAGAGGAAGGTCAGTCTAGAGGTGGATGGGAGTGGACCACACACACCTCCTGCCACGGAGAGATTTATCAAGCCAGCTTTGCTCCCCGAAACACATGGTTAATTTAGCAGCCATTACAGGTGACATTTTGATGAATAGAGAAGGCTGTTCACGCATACATAGGCAATAGGCATAAACACACACAAACACACGCACGCAGACGCGGTCATAGAAAGAATAATGGTCATTTTACTGCAGTCTGCAGGAGGACGGGAGATAAAAGTTAGTGTTGGGAGAATGATGTGTCAGGATGGTTTCATTAACTCAGAGATAGAAGACTCCTGTCTGTGGCATCAGCGATCATTCTAGGGGAAGAAATTATTCTTCACGGCTGGAGATGGACATGTGCACTAACATAGTGACAAACTACTCAGTTACTCACAGTTAATCCCAGCTGCTTACAGACCCAGATAATCCTGTCTGTGTAATTAGCACTCCTGCTAATCAGGATTTAGCTGAGATGCTAAAATGTACCTGTGTGCGCAGTCCGAGAGGAAAGTTGCACGCAGCCAGGAGACGAGAGGCCATTGCTCATTGATCCCCCCCTAACCCATTTATCATCATTTTCATCCCTTTAAACTGATATCTATGGATTTGTCGGAGCTGCCCTTCACTGCTTTGAGTAGGAGGTTCCACACATACCACAAACATTTGATCACTGTCAAACATGTGTTGGCTGGGGCTGTGACAAACACACACTAAGCTGCTCCACAAAGAGCTGTCTATTCAAACCAACAGATGATATAGAGTTGTTCTACCCACACATGCAGGATGCAGTCTGCCTACGGTTGAACAGCAGCCCAGAGCCAGGAGCGGATAGAAAATGTCCTTTATGAAGCAGCGACTCTGCTCGGGCTTCTATGTCTTGGCGGCGATTTGGCAGGGAGCAGAACAGACGTGCAGACAGACAATAGAGAAGTCTCTATGGAGATCAGCCTGCACCGCTACACGGCCACCGCTTCTTTTTTTCCCCTCCCCAAGTCCCGGTGCCTGCAGGGACACTGTATAACCCTTTAAAATACAGTTTCAAAACCCGGACAAATCAATTTCCTTCGCTTTGTTGAATATCAAACCTCTCCCAAGGACTAGCATCAGATTCAGAAAAGATTATTTTGGGAAAATGAAATGAGAGACTCTAGAGTATGTAGCACTGAAGCATAACTCTTAATAATAATGATAATAAAAAGCCAATACTTTGTCAGTCTGTATCATCGCAGTAACAATCAGATCAGATCAAACAATCACATCAGATGCAAACTTGATTTGGTTATGGTCTTTTCACCACTGTGGGTATTTTCCTTCTACGGGAGCCGGGGAGTAGAGTGGTGTCATTACCTTCGGCTCTGATCACGATGCATCCTGAAGGTCAGACCTGATGAATTGGAGAGACAGCACTGTTATAGAGAACAGCCATTATCCATGATAGTGAAAGAGATTATTCACTCTCCTGAGAGAGGAGAGAAAAGGAAATACTGAGCAGAGTAGATAAAGATTAAAGGAAGAGAAATCAAAAGGAAAGGAAAGGAAGGAAGGAAAGGAAAGGATCCACATTCAGAGGGCTCAGACAAACACCTCAGTGAGGAGTCACTGTGAAATGCTGATAGCTGATGGGTGACAAAACTCCCCTACCCACTTAAAGCTGACACCTCGGTGCAACTGTTTCTTTCCACAGCATGCAGTCAGGGATGATATCATTGTACCTGAGAGAAGCTAGAATACTCCCAGCCCAGTTAGAGCTGACACCAGGAAACAGTCTCCCTCCTGCGCTCCCCTCTGTTTCAACTCAACATTTTCTCTCAGCGGAGATGTCCTCTGACAGAATTCAGCACTGTAACCACTACACAAGGCTGTTAGCTGAAGATATCCCCTCAGGCTGGAGTTTAAGGGCAGAAACGCCTGCTGGTTCGACTGAATTAAAATAATGTGGATTCCTAACCTCATCGCCGAATAATTTGCAAGCAATCTAAAAACACGAGGACATCTTTTTTTACCCCGTAACCCCTTGAATTATGTTTAAAACCGAGGCAAGAAATATGCAGCTTGTAATCTATGGGATATCCCATCCAAATAGGGGACTTCTTGAACCCTAAGCCTATCTTCTAGTCTGTCTCTGCTTCTCTCTGCAGGCTGTGGTGATGAAGTGCTTTGTGCCTGCAGTAGTCCAGCGGTGTGCCGTGCATGTTAAAAAGCCAGTGATGGCGGGGGGAAGCCTGGGGAAGGCTGTGCAACCAACAAAGCTGCAGGCCAGAAGCCACGCTGTAGGCCGGGAGGTGAATAAATGATTTGAATGGCAGTAAAAGGCGGATGCAAATGGGCTCGGTCTGGTAAGTAAACATACAGCCACATGCATGAAATGACACGAATAAACAAAGCCGTGTGTCTGGTTTTATCTACAGATACAAACGTAATGGCGATGCATGAGCACAGCCGCAGATGCGCGCGTTCACTCACACAAACACCAGTGTGAGTCTGCATATTGTACATCAGTCAACCCCATTATCATCTGCAGGAGATGAATACTGACAAGAGCAAGATGCTAAGAGAAAACAGCCTGTTTTTCTTCTTCTGCAGCACGTCCTCCACGTTCACACAGCTATTACATTCATGAGACATGATTATACAACTAACTACAGGGAACCTTTTCAGTTATGGAGATATTTGAGTTTTTGGAAATAAAAGGAACATTTAAAAAGCTGCCAAATTCATCTTGAATCTAAATTGCAAGAAAATAGTTCATTTAATGCCACAAAAAGATTTGAAGAAAGTTCCTACTGCATGCACACACGCGTGCGTATATGTGTGTTGTGCGTGCATGTGTTCGTGTGTGTCTGTATACACCTGAATCTGAAAGCTCTGAGGACTAAATTAGAGAAAGAGTAGGTGCTCTGTTTCTGAAGAGAGGAAGGCTAGACCACTTCATGGGTCACACCTCTAGACTCCATCAGCACTCCGGGCCTCATTGAGAAGAAGATCTCTGGGGTGCAGGGCGGAGAGGATGACCTGAGGTTGGCCTGGGGAAGTCATGCTCAGAGAGGCAGACATCACTGCACAGGTCAACTGTGCTTCTCAAGGGGGTGATTAAAAAGTTAGAGGTGTGATTTTCTGCTGTTGCTGCAAAATACAGCACAGTACCTGGGGCAAAAATGTATTCAGTTTTTCTCCTGTGAGTATTTTACATTTTGGCATTTAAATGACTGTAATATTAACATAAAATTAATCATAATGTGAAATTATCTGAAGTTGACTTGACTTCCGCCTACCTTAAAACTGCTACAGAATACCAAGACAATACATTTACATTTTCTCCACATGGTCCACCTTCTTGGTTTTATCTCTGGGATATTATCAGTTTAAGACAGTGAGACTGAAACTCAAAGTCTCTGCTTGTGACTCATCATCACCAGCTGTACAATGCTGAGTACATTCTGGTTAGATGAAGAATAGTGTTTTCCCTATAGCTTTTCTATATCAAACAAGTTATCTCAGCAGGATTTATTGACTAGTGACTAATATTGTGTTATATTGCTACCCTGTGCCGAGAATTGGCTCAAGGTTTGTGAGAAGAAGGGAGTCACTTACTTTGATCCACTAGAAATAATTTACTGCAAAACTAACAAAATGCAAACATCAAAGAGGGCTGATGCCAGGTGGAGTAGAGCTAAATGAATTTAAGCTGCTAAAGTTCCAGCAACTAAACAAAAAACTGGAATTGAAGAGTGAGCACGAGCAAAATTAGCATAGCCAAAGGCTCCTCCAAACAAAGGCTCTCTGACAAGCCCAAACTTCCCAAGACACCAACAGTTAACCAAGCAACGACAAAGCTTAAACCAACTCAAAGCACAATTAGTTGTGTACACCAAAGCTACCAGGCCAAGCTTCTAAGTTACAGATATCACAACACCATTTAACATTAAGGTCACTTAAAGACTTATTAGTTATACCATACTGAGCCATGTTAGCCAAATATCATAAGCATTTTGGATACACAGTGGTCCCTCGCTATAACGCGGTTCACCTTTTGCAAATTTTTTGTGCATTTTTGCATGCTTTTTTGTGGGTTTTTTTACAGCACATTGTGTTCTGCATCCTGATTGCCTGTAAACCACTGTCAATCAATCTCCTCCGTGCCATGTCTCCTGTACAGTACAGAATGTGTTCAGCTTGTCAAATACACATAAATCTTCGATCGCTAGCAGTTTGATGCTGAAGTGCTGTACTGTATATTTGTAAGTTTCTCCCCAATAAACACAACAATGTCGACGAAACGTTTTGCACCGCCAAAAGCACCCAAAAGGCAGAGGAAGATGCTAACCATCGCACAAAAAGTTGGACATCTGGACAGGCTAAAGGAAGGTAGAAGTTACCGTATTTTTTGGATTATACCCTTATATTATATTATACCCTGAAAACAGGGTTTCATTCTATAATACTGGACTTATTTTTCTACGAAGGTTTGAACTTTGAAAACGTTCATGCCTGTCTGAGAACAGTGTATAAAGTGTGTAGTGAGGGGTTTTACAGCCTTAAAACATCTATCTAAAAAATAAAGTTTCCCCTATTGTGGGTTATTTGTAGAACGTAACTCCCGTGATAAACAAGGGACCACTTTATTGGCCATATATTTTGTCTTTAAATTATATGGCAAACCCAGAAACACATGTACCAGAACAAATGCAGTGTTGCAGTAACAGCCAGAAATCCCAAGCTCCCTAGTTCTTGCCAGTGCATTTAAAATTAATCTCAACCCTAGTCTTTGGACAGATACGTGTGCTGGGTACTTACGCACTGATTCCACTGGCACCAAAAACTGGGAACCATCTGTAAACCAGGGAAATGCTCCCAAGACATTATCTTCAGCCACAAACTTCCCCATATATGATCAACCACTAAAGAGATGCATGGCTCATGGAAGTTGAAATATGGCTATATTTAACCCAAAACAACATGTAAAATCTTAAAATTAAATTCTTTGGTTTGAAAGCCAAACAGAATAGCGACTGGTGCTGCCTTCCTCCAACACTAACCAAAATTAACTCAACTAAAGTTATTAAAATACCCAGTACAAACAAAACAACATCTTTTGCAGAGCTCTCAAGCATCTTTGTCACAATGGTGAATTCCAAAATTTAATTCATTGATTTTTTTTTTTTTTTAATATCCCGGATGAGCCCCTATTTGTCACGGGCTAGCTCAAAGGTGGAAGTCCACATGAGAAGGTAACTCAAATAAATAGAATTTATTGTAAACTATCAAAATGCAAACATCAAAGAGGGTTGTTGCCAGGAACATTTCTATACTCTGAAATGTTTCTATATATCTACATGGACAGGGCATACTGGTATTCCTCAGACTTCCTCAGATACTGTATGGAAAAATGTGTCATGTCCCTCCATAAGTAAATCTAATAGTTTCTTTGCTTTGTGAGTTACGTTTGGTTCTCTTTCTCTATAGGGCCTCTGTATAAATCTGAGCCAATGCAGAAAAATTTCCAACAGGTTCACAAACCTTTTCCTGCAGCTATACGCTGATTATGCGTTAGTTAATCCTATTAATCCTGGTTACATTAAAAGTTAACCACCTTTGCTTCTAGCTTGAAATTGGAATAATAAACCACTGAAAGGTCCCTTCAAATTATTTGTGGTACACTGAATAAATAATATTAATCCAGTAATACAGCTTACCCCTCTGAAACATTCATATATGCCATTGCAACTCGATATGGTTTACCATTATGCATTTAAATTGCACTGGCAAAATTGCCTCAGTCATTGCAGCACCTTTGTAGGCAAAACTCGTACCTGTCTTTGTCTTGATGTTGGAACTACTGCTGCTTCGCTGACATGCTGGACTTGCTACACAGAAGTGTTTCAGGCATGTTTTTTAAGTAGTCCGTCTAAGATATTCAATCCAGCTGTCGCAAAGGCTTGCTTTTTACCTGTGATATATGCATGAGTGGAAGCGTAGCCTTTGAATTTCAAGTCTATTTTCCTGCATTTTACACAGTGCACAGTAATTGTGTGCCGGGCTCTGAGTGCTTCCAAAACACAGGTGACCTAAAACTCAATGCACTGCCTGAGCGCCTCTTGTGTAGACCCACATAGAGCACCAAAGCTGCTGCTGTTTTTCTGCTAAGCCCTGAGGGTTAGATTTGGGCATTTAGATTTATTTTTAACCATAAGCATATCTAGTCTTAGAATGGACTCTCCCTTGAATATAATTATTTTGACAGTAGTGGCAGGATCACCTTCTGGTTAAGGAACACCATAAATATTTTTAGAGAATGGGTAGAGAATGCAAGGCAGAGAATGTGGGGTGTGCATGTCAAGGTATCCATACCTCCTGCAGAGATTCTGCAAAAGCTGTCTGACTGCCCCTACTAGAAGGTGACACGGTTAGAGGTGAACAGCACCTATATACTATGTTGAATAGTTCCTATCTTCCAGCCATCTAACTTAGCAAATATTCCAAGCAATAGCAACTGAAAGAAATGTACTTTTAGCTAACAGTGTTCTTTTACACAGAAAAGTGCACTGATTGAGAGCAGCCAAGATCTAATATTACACTTAGTTATCATGTTCTAAAGGCAGATCTAATCCTTAGGAGAACATCTGCTATGGTACAAAAAAGCCTTGGGCAGCTGTTGATAAACTATAAGCTGTCAATCATGTCTTATGCCCCCCCCTTACATCCCTGAGGGACACAGAGAAAGGGGGGGAAAGACAGAGTTAATCAAAGGAGTAGTTTTCCAATTAAGTGACAGCGAAAGTTACAGGATTGTATCTTGAATCCATTTGGCTTACTTCATGCCTAAGATGAGAGCTCTAAATAGACTCTGTTGATTCTCAGGTTTAGTGATTAAGCTTGTCATGGCATATAAGAGTTCCACAGAGTGCTGTTTTTACACTGCATTGTCTTGATCCTGTGTGTCTTTATGCCGTCCCAGGGAAAGCTTTTAGAAGCACAATCAGTGCTGTGTTTGAAAAATGTCACCCTGCGTCATGTGTGTTGAGATTAAATTCAAATGTTTTCTGATGCTCATCAGCTTACCCTATGAATTATTCCAAGAAGCTCCTTTCCCGCTAAAGCAATTTGTTCTGATGGGACTGTAGGTCATCCACGTGGATCCGGAGTGTGGCCTTAGTGTACGATTACATGTTTAGCTCCAATATTGATGTAATCCACAATGGGTATTACCCTCTAGCAGATATGCATCAGGGGACTTTAAATCTGCACCCAATCTCTCCCTATCTTGCCCCTGCAGCTTTTTCCATCAAACGGCAGCGATTTGGCGCACTTCTCCTGATGGGGTGCTCCTCTATTCTCCTGCGGCTGTTGGACGGCTGACCCTCTATCCAAGGCGCCTCTTCGAACACGTCTGAATGTTTTATTCATGACACCTGTAGAACACAGTAAACCGTTAAACCGCAACCAAAACAAAACGCCTCAGTTACCTCAGGAGAACCACTTTCCCTGTTGAAATAAGACACTTCATGTCTCTGTTGCAGGGGTGTTTAGATGCTCATACTATGAAACAACCACACTGGGACAACTGAATCCATTTCTCCGGTTGCAAAAAGATATGCTTATGCACATCAACCCCTCTGTTTGACTAAAAATATATTCTTATTTCTTGGAAGATGTCAAGGATGGATAATTACACCACTGACACGTCCCAAAAATAGCCATGCTAGTCTGTTGTTTCTAAGCAACTCATTGTATTTAAATCTATTTCTCTTTTTTTTTGTTCATTTGCTGTCTCACCGAGAATAGATATAAATAATCACAGCACTCATATAGCTGCACCCACCCAGTACCATTTAGCTCAGCTTAGCATAAAATCAAAAACAAGAGACTACCAGCCAAGAAATTGTCTGCTACAAAACCACTTTTTGTTTTTACAAGGGTTTTTGTATGAATTATGTAAATGTGGCATAACATAAAATATCAAGCATGGTTCTCTTCAGATGGTGGCAGCTAGGCTAGGAGTTTTTAGGCTATTTTTACATTTCCCCCCAACAAACGTACTGTTTTTCAGCTAGCTGCTAGCATAGAGATTGGTTAGCTTAACTTAGCATATCAAATATACGACATACGAAAACAGAGGCTTGTAGAACATTACAGAACCTCGATGTTTTTTCTTTGCTTTTGTTCCACTTTGGGTTTAAAAAGAGGACCTAATATGCTTTCTTCTTCTTCTTTTTTAAGCACTTAAGGATGAGATAATGTTTAATGGGTTATAACACTGGGTGAGAAATATAAGTCCAGACATGTGTGGTATCCACAGAAACCTCTGAATCCCAGCTAAAATGTCATATAAACCATTTCTACAAGCACCAAACACACTGAAAACAAGCCGTGATTAAACGAGCAGTTATGTAAATGCGCCAAAGACCGCTAAACAAACAAAACCAAACCGGAAAACCATAGAAACAACAGGTAGATTGGTCAGGTAGGATGGATTCCCAGAACACCTGTTAAAGATAGGCTGGTTAGCTTCCAGAGCTATCACTGACTCCACACACCAAGTTTCACCACGATCAGACCAAAATTCACTGAATGCCTGCAAAAGAAGATCACAAAAACACATAGCAGCGCAAATGCGCTAAGACAGAAATTGGCTTACCGTCCTGATTTCCTCCAATATTTTCGCTGGTAGCCGGTAGCCACGTGATTATCAGAAGTTACCACGCCTGCCTAGCTGCATCAGAGCCGTTTTCCATCAACAACCTCCATTTTAGACCCACCTACAGACAGGTGACCGGACAGACGCCACATGCAGAAAATTTGGGCCCACAATTGTGGCATTGCAACGTCTGATTGGTTGAAATGCCATGAACGTGGCATCGTTACTTTGATTCTATTGGCTAAAATGATTAAAAAGAGGTGTCAATCATGCAAATTGACCAAAAGAAACCAAAGTTACAGCCCCTCGGAGTTTAAAGGGCCAGAGACCAATTAAATGCTTCATGCGCACTGCAGAAATTACACATTACCATGTAAATGTGTGGTTGTTGCATATAATTTAATTTTTGCTTGATGCATAAACTTAAAAGATTAAAACTAATAAAACAAGTTTTAAAAAGAGACCTTTCCATTTGATTACATCTTTTATGATGGATTATGCAGAAAAAGTAGAATTGGGCTGAAAGATCTGTTGCTTTATTACCTATTCAGGTTGTAAATTGTGTTTTTAAAAAGTAACTAAGTAATTAAGTAATTAATTACTTTGGAAAATAAGTGATCAGTAAAGTAACGGGATTACCTTTTGGTGGAAGTAATCAGTAATTAGTTACTGATAACTTTTTTCAAGTAACTTGACCAACACTTGTTTTAAACATGTTATTTCATATATATACATATTTTTTCCGCTTTTGGTAGAGATATATATGCTGATTCAAGGTACACAGGTCTGGCTGTGAGCACAGAATCCCTACGCACCTTTTGTTCAAGTGTTTTGTTTGCAACAGGCAGCCAATCAGAAGAAAGATGGCTTAAAGTGAGGAACAAGGAAGCTAAAATACATCAAGGCCCAGTATATGAAAAATAAGCATTATGTTGAACTTGAAATCATGCAAAGCTATGAATATGGAGCGGGGTCTCTTTGAATAAATTTTGTCTACTCTAAGCATGAAACACTGAACATTTTTAATTGATCAGTGCATTTTTTTCAGAATGCTTATAAAATGATTTTTGTATAATCCTATTGGTCTTTGTTATTGTGGTTAGCTTTGATAGTAAATTAGAGTCAGTTGTGATGTTATTATCATCGTATTATTTACAGCAGACTTTTCTTTGACTGGTGAATTACTGGAGTTGTAGCTAGGTTGTATTTTTTGTATATTTTTATATATGCCTGCTCTTTTAGAGACCAACATTATTTGCAGATTTTCTTAAAAGTCACAATTATACAGGAAATCATGCATAACAAGCATTCACTTTATAGCACATATCATTTATACATTCTTTGTCTATATGGGTGCTAAGCATGCTATCCAACTCATATAGGGTCATCCTCACAGCACCCCACACTTGAAACATGTTGCCATCCACACTCACAAAAGCGACAGTAACTGAACTCCAGTCATTTGCTTTACTACAAATAGACCTCTGATAGGTTAACCTCTTTTATGAGAGCTTTATATGCACAGAGGAAGAAACAGAGTAATAGATGGATTGGGACAAGAATGGAGAAGCAGGCCTCGGCCAGACATGCAATTAGACGCATGTGGAGACACTGAGGTGGAGTCAAGGGTGATATTGCTAGTGGACAAATGCTAAGAAAAAACAAAATCCATAAACATGTCCTCTGGATCCCTTCAGTCCATAAAGTTTTTTGTTTGTTTGTTTTGTTCTCCATTGCACTATAAATTTGATGCTTTTTTACTTATTTCAATAAGTGTACTCCAGGGGTGTCAAACTTATGGCCCAAGGGCCACATCCAGCCTGCAATGCAATTGTATCTGGCCCGTGAGATAATTTCATAGATCAATTATTAATGGTCTGTTGGTATGTGGTAGCCAGATCTTCAGCCCTGCTGAGAATCCTTGCAGGCAGGGGTGGGACTTTATTTTGATGGGCACACTATGCAGCCAATCACATGCAAAGACAGACTGGGATCATACCGAAGGATGCTACGCAGATGTTCCTAAGAAAGCAAGTGCAGCGGTACAAGCCAAATACACAGAGAGACAGGGAGCTTTGCATTTAAATGCAAAAGTGTCAGGAGATGTAAAGAAATGAGTGACAACGTAAAATAAACAGTATGGCTGCATCTGAATGATATTGGAAACTGCAAAGCTGAGTGCAGAATGTATAAAATTAGCACCACAAACCCATGGCTCAATGTCTGAGTGTCTAAATGAGCCTCACAGGCCTGAATGTGCACTTGAGGCAATTTATAATTCTTAACTTGTTTGATCTGCAGCTCACCACAAACAAGTACAAGCAGAAATTTTGGACTTTTAAATGTAATTTCATAAGTTTTACAGCTTTTCCTGCTGATAAAAACCTCCCATATGGCCATTCATACTGCACAAAGTAACTCAAAGTGACGTTGGATTGATGTCTTTTATGTGTCATTTTTGGATTTTCAGTTTTAGTCCACTCAAGGGGTTGTTTTGTAATGCCAGGCAACATCTTTTTTTCGACATCTACTGAACCTCTACTGTTGACGTCTGTAGGACCTCAGTGTACAAGCTATTTGTAGTTCAAGTGTGGTCGTAATGGACATATTTTCAATGTCAAACTTAGACTCATTTTATACTTTTTCTACAGGCTCTGTAATCCCATGTTTCCAGGGGGTGGAGGACATGTTTTCTATAGTCCACCAGTTAATTTTTCTGTAGGTTTA